TGCCCCCGACAGGAAATCTAACCTCCAACCAGAAACAGCAGCCTCACCAGACCTCTCTCCCTGAAAACAATCAGCAACCTCCGGTTTGTTTTATGGATTTATAATGCTCTGCTGATATTTCACCTGTGACTTTCAGCGTTTTTAAACGAGGATTAAAAACAATCCAGGACATAACAGTACTGTAAATGTTTAATAACCTTTTTAACCACTGGCATGGACCTTGCACCAGCTAATGTAGTTTCCCTCTCGCCCTGTGAGCCTCGCTGCTCCGATAAACAACCCTCACATGCACCTTCCCCTGGCTCCAGCGTTGCCCCTTTGTGGCTTTCGCCAGCAAACCTGAGGCTTGGCGTTAGAGGGCGAAAACAATGGAGCATCGACTATTCTACCTCATTCCCGAGAGAGACGTCTTATTTGTTTTTTTTTTTTTTATCTGATCTTTTTTTTTTTTTCTGTGTTGCAGGAAAAAAAAGTAATACGTTGATTTTAGCAACACTGAACATGAAGTTCATCTATTTCAGATCAATTATTTTTTATGTGGTGTTTCTGGAAAACGACCACAACTGAGAAAACATGTAAACTCCTGCAGCTGCATTTCGCAAATACAGTCTGAACAAAGAACAAAAATCAACCTTTTCCAGCTCTGAGTAAGAAGAAAACAAAGCTAGATCAGCAGCTGACCCATTAACATTATTATTATTGTTTAGCCAGAGCCAGTCTAAGACTGTATGGTGCCCCAGGCAGCATATTTTTTATTTTTTGGGAGGATAAGGGGGGGTTGAAGACCTGAAGAACTCAAGAGGGGTACATTTAGTTCAGCATATAATCCACACCACCACAGCCATTGTTTTACTGGGCATTTAACGCCTTCATTGTTTACCAGTAGGAAAACCAGCGTATCTGCCTGTATGAGTTGCTCCTGTATACCTGTGGCTCACTGTAGTGGAAAAACATCAATAAAAAAGCAGCAATCAGTTAAAAAAAAAAACATGTTGATTATTAGGTATTGCATTTTAACATTTATTTGACCTTCCTGGGATCTGTATGTGCAGATTTGAAACAAAAATATAGTAGAAATAAATACTGCATATGATGTTATTATTTTTTTTCTCCCTGGTTTTGCCTTTCGAGCATCAAAAGTTTGCTCTAGCTGTCTGTTCAGATTGCTAGCCTGCAGCCCGCTGCTTTACAGCCAACTGTACTTTAACAAACTCTAATAAGAGAAAAGGACAGCTCGCCTTTAAATTTCACTCTGGATATGAGCACATTTTGCAGTCAAATCAGTTCATAAAAATTCGTATGAGCAACAAGGAAAGTTTAGCTTGTTTTCAGCCGGGTGGACCAGCAGTGGACGGCGGCAGACGATTGAGGGGCAGTAACACATCAGGAAAGTTATACCAGAATATTTCAACGGTTTTGAAAGCCTTTTAGCCCTTGATTTCTAAGATCATGAACCTGCCTAAACCCACCAACAAATTCATCTTTACACCGAATAAATGTTGCTCACATTAGTCTCTTCACAACAAATTCATCAAATTTTCTTATTTGGCCTTGCAGCCACTTCTGGTGCAGACCGTTTCAAAAGCAAAAGCTGGAGTCGGAACATCAGGAACCAATTACATCGTTGTGCTTACGAGCAACCACAGAAAATGGCCAGTTTATTGAGATTTATTTGTAGCTGAAATAATAAATAATCCGGTGCATACACACGGTTGGAAAAAACAAACAAAGGGAATTAAATTATATCTGTCAACATCACAACCAAATTGTTTTATTGTAGATATATTTGCCAGGTTTTTCAAACTGACAATAAATCTTTTTTTTTTTCTTTTTACGTTTTTAGCATTTTATTTTTATATATTATGTTTAGAAACCTAAATAAATTTATAAAAACGTTATAAGTTAGCCTGATTGAGTTTTATTTAAACCAAAAAAAGCAAACAATTAACCTTCTTGCAGCAAAATAAACAGCTTTGGTGTTAGAAATATAAAATTAACAACCGTTAAATTTAGAACTGTATTTTACAGAACCTATTTACAGCAGTAGAGTGATGTGTGGTGCTCCTTCCTTAGGCTACACAGCAAAAATATTTACAAGCAGGCAAATTTGTTATTCTTTCAAGCAAAAAAAAAAAGAAAAAAAAGCAGTCCACAGCAATAGGTGGTGAAAGAGCAATGCTGTGTTGATCTACTCGTCATGCAGCCCTCTGAATAAGCTGAGCTGACTTTTAGATTAGACTATCAGGATACTTATTTGCTCCTACTAACTACTTTTCTACTTTTAATTTAGTTCAGTCCAATTATATTTGATATCCTGAATATTCAGAAAGAAGTGTTTTATTTTAGTTTGACTGCTTTTCGTGCATTTTGTACAAGTTATTCAGTACAACATATATATCATTTATGCAACAAAACCCGTGATTGGAATACAATTGTTAAATATTGCAATAATGTTTTTCATTTTAGCAACACACCCCACCTTTCTCTGAGCTTTAGCATCTCCACAAATATAAAAGGTGTTGGCATGAAGGGCGTTAAATGGCTTTTCAACTGATCAAAAACATCACTGGCATGCAGAGTGTGAATGCATTGCACCTGAAACATAATCTCCCTCCAAATATTGCATGCAAGCGCTAAGACTCTAAGACCTGGACGTTACACATTAAATGGATATATGATAAACCGCTAACAAAACTGAAAGCGAAAGATGTTGGTTTGCATGTTATTTTGAAATAGATGTGAAGACATTTTTACTTTTACTAACTATTCTTACCCGCTAAGCAATGATCTAACTTTGGATAATCATTGTCTTCTATTTTATTGATTTGCAAAACTTTTTTTTTGTTTAATCTCAGCAAAAAGAACACCTAGATCTCTGTTTCATCAACAAAACAGTATTCTTTGCTGTATTCTGCAAACTTTAAAGAACAGGTGGACGGAGGGCTGAGTTTGAGACGCAGCTTCTGATTAGTCGTGGCCCCGTTAACTTAGAAATTAAACCGAAAGCAAAAAAGAAAACTTAGTCAACTAGAGATAAGTACTTTGATTCTGCCTAACATTTTCTATTTTATGTAGATTTCGTCTGTGGACACTGGCTGTGCTGGTGGGTCAGATTTGAACCCACCAGCACGTGAGCCCAGAGGTTTGGACTCACGTAAAATCAGTCCATGGGCCACAAAAGGCCCACAGGCCACACTTTGAACACTTCCTATTTAGATCAGTCAAATAATGGGGAAAAATTTGAAGAATTGAAAAAAAATACACAACATCTTAGGCATATTTAACACTTTTTACCAAATGATAAAGCATTAAAGACACTATATTTATGTTCATAGATACATCCTCACATTCCTATGTCATGCTTGGGGCTTAAAAGAACATTCTGTTCGCTGAAATGTTTATAACTAAATAAAATACTGGGAGTTTTAATGAGAAGTAAAAGAAAATCTCAGCTTTTCAGTATATGTCCTGCCTATAAAAGCTGGTCAGAGAAAATCGGCAGATTCCAATCTCTGACTGACTCCTGAGTCTCCAGTTTTCATATCGTTACATCCCCGCAAAGTATTTTGGTTTGTAACAGGGCAGCGTCTAATCCCCACCAGCGACCTGCCAAGCTGAGCTTCCAAAATCACACACACATGCAAACACACACACACACACACGCAAACAGGGTTCTGACTTTCAGATACTTCAGCAGCACCTAGTTTAAAGAGGTAATATGACTCAGTTGCTCAGAGCCCACTTTGAAGTGAACACAGCAACAGGCGTGTTGTAATAAATCTAATAACGGCTGTAAAAATAAAAAAAATGTAAAAAAATTATAGAAATCTTCAAATATTTGGAAGCTGCAGCTTTGAAATAATGAGATGTATAAAAAGTGAAAGTCTGGCATGACTTGACATTATCTCTCCGTGTCAGAGCTGTGCCGCCCGACTGGGTCCAGCGCCTTAAGTTAATGCAAAATAGCTGAGAAGTTGTTATGGAGACATGAATCCCATTGGGTTGTGCCGCTACAGCACCGTCTCCAGAGGCTGGCGTCACCCCCAGCAACAGACTTGCTCCAACAACTGCACCCAGCTCTACCTTTCCTCCACCCCTCGGCTCTGCTGCCATTCTGTGCCACCAATTTTCACTCTCAAATGATCCTATTGTGCATGCATGCGTGCGTGCGTGCGTTAGCGTGTGTGTGAGTTCAATCTGACGAAGACACACCCAGTCCCCGCTCCCACACTCAATCTACATGACCAAGACAGCAACATTCACACCTTCATGGATATTCAAATCTCAGTCAGCAGCTCGGCGTCACACCAGAAGCAAGCCGCTGGGATTCACACGTCCTCTCATGCCTTTTCTTCGTGCCCTGATATTTATTAATAAAACCAAACACAAGCATGACCTTCTTTCTGCCAAAGTGTCTGTCCCATTTACCCACATTTGAATCTTCATGCTCCACGAGTGTAGGGGGGGGGATTGTTTCTTTTTTTTTCTTCTTCTTTACAGGAACATTTCAACTCCCTGAAAATCTCAACAGTTGCATCCATGTTGAAGAGGAGACCTCACAGGCTGAATCTGCCCGGGTTGGGACTCAACGCTAACAACTTTTCCCTTCCCTAAAACTCAGCTGAAGCAACTTCTGTGCACTCTGTGGCTGTGCATAAAACCTGCGAGGGGTGTTAGCAGGGGCTCCCGCTACCCCATTCAGGTCCCCCAGGTAACCATGGCAATGAAGACCAAGAAAGAACGCTTTCATGTTGGCGCCCTGAACCGGGATTTGGAGCGGGGAAATGAGCAGACAGGAGAGGCAGAAGGAGGAGGGAAGGGTGGCTGCTCCAAAATGCACTCCTAAACTTTACAAGCCATACAGTGGGAGGCAAAATGCACAGAGAGGCAGGAGGAAGAATGAAAAAAGAAATGTTTAACCCCCCCACCCCCCCAAAAAAAAACCCATGCTGACAGAAAAAGTTAGCCAACCATAAAGCGCTTCAAAATAGAAAACTCACCGTTTTGGAATCCAATTCATGTCTGTTTTGTGCCAAAACCTTTTCCACACCGGCCTGATCTGCGTATGTAACGAAGCCGAACCCCCTGCAAGAGGAGAGGAACGAAATAAACACACACATGCAGCCGTCTTTGGTGGAGAAGCTCAGTGGCCCCGCCGAGGGGGTCCTACATGAGTAAGTTTCTACAAGTACGAACTCAAAGCTAGGGAACGAGCTTCAGCTAGCAGCAATCACTCCCACCGTTGCTAACCACAATACAACGTAACAATTACTAAAGCTGCTAAATGTGGTGATTTGAACAGAGAGTCACCAATCATGCTTTTCAGGGATCATTTTTCCTGACCTCCTGATTCCTGACTGCAGCACACGGCAGCGGTGTAGACTCTGTAAAGTGTTGCAAGTTCTTTGACGGAGATATCTGTGTCAATTTAAACCAAAGTTTTGCCAAATTTAAACCGAAACTTAAAGGACTACAGCACCATCACGCATGCATCGTGGTACGTTGGTGACCATTATCAGATTTTTTTTCAATGAACTGAAAAAAGTGAAGGGTGCACCAAAGGCATGTTGTCAGTTGAAGAAAAAATTAAAAAATAGCTGGAGATTTCAGTTTTGATGCAGTTAAGAAATATACAGAAAAAAACTGCTAATAGTATTTGAGCAAATTATCTCTACAGCCTGCAAAACAAATGAGGGTTACCCAGTTCCAATATCTGGCTTTCAACCACCCAATGTACGCTTTATTAGACGTTTTTGCTGTTCTGTAGCTCAGATTCGATGAGCACATTCATTAATCAGACTTTCTGCTAAGAAAAATCTGAATTTTTCATATTAAAAAAATTTTCCTGAACCACCAAATTTGCCTCTTTTTTTTGCAACTGCCAGGAGGAGAGCCTGTCGACTTTCTTCTTTTAGCCGGATTGGCCAGCAGTGTGCTGCAACAGGCTATTTATTCCCTGCAAAGGAAAACTATGAGCTCTCCCGAAACATCAGAAAAGGAATGAGAAGCTTCAGCTGCTGTGAAACCACGCAGTTTCAAACAGTTGCTTTCGTATGGAGGTGGGTAGAGAACCCAAAAACTCTACTCAAGTACGGTTTTGGGGGTTTTGGGGGTTTGGGTAGCACTGCTTCAAGACAAAGTAAAAAGTCGCTGTTTTTACTGAAGAGTGAAAAAATGTATTTGGTGAAAAGACTGCTGAGGTTCTGATCAAAGCATCAATCATTTAACATTTGAAAATCACCAGCCGGACCACGATTTGAAAATGTGTGAATGTGACGGTGTTTCGAGGACCGAATTCAAAAATAATTCAGACAAATAACGTCATGACAAAACAACAAAAATCAATTTCTTTCCGTGTAAGACGTTATGCGACGTTCACGGAAACTGTGGGCGTGTGTCTGCGCCTGGTGAGGTTTTTTTTTAGGTAAAACAAGCTTGTCCATCACTCAGTGAAGCTGCTCACGAGTATCCAGACATTTCAGTCAAGTGCTGCTTCACAATGAGTGAAATGTAAAAAAAAAAAAAGTTCAGCACGGTAAGAAATATGTTCCTGGAAGTACATGGAGTGAACAAATAACTCGATATACTACTGGGTAGTGACAACTAGTCACTACCCAGCTCTGCATGTAGATAGAAGTATTTAAATAGAATTATGGTGTCTTTTTGCATCAACCAGCCACTGGTGCAAACAGAAAACTATCAGTGGTCATCATCCGGTCACCCCCACCCCACCCCCGTTCAAAAACTTTCTAGGGGCGCCCCTGGAGAATTAGCGTGGAAAGCAGGCATGAGGCATCCAGTGATAGGACGGCGGGGCGCACACGCCTCCTTCCCCTTCTTACCTCGACCGCTTGGTAACGGGATCCCGCATCACCATGCACTCCTTCACCTCGCCAAATTTGCAGAAGTACTCTCTCAAGCCTTCTGCGGAAGACAACGAGGGACAGCAAACTGTTAAATAAACTCAGGAAGGGGGACAAGTTCTCCCTGCAGACACCCTCCCCACACACACACACACACACACACACACATGTGTTGCTGGGGTGGCCGGAGAGAAACAATGGGGTCGGGGTGGACCACGTTGTGTTTGCGTCCCTCCAAGACCTCCCAGCTTACAGCGAAGGCCACAAGAAAAAAACAGAATAGATTGCAGGTTTAGAGCAGCAGCATCTGTGGGATAATAACACGGCTAACTAGAATAAACTGTGAGCATGCGTGTCTCCTGGAATAAAACGCGGACGGCGGGAGGGAAAAACAACAAGAGGAGCGTGGGAATAAGCAGGCGCGCAACTTCGGCTTTGCCTCCGAATAATCGATCACTTTTATCATGTTGCGCCATTTATCTTTAATAGAGGTGAAATCCGCTGTTGTTAACTGCGCCAACGAGCGCACATGCGGGCGGGGAGGGGAGGAGAGGGGAGGCGGGGAGGGAGGAAGGGAGGTTGGGGGGTGAGGCAGACAAGTCGAGTTGTATGTGTGCACGATTTCCAGTGTTAATCTCCTGCGTCTCTGCGAGTCTTAAATCCTGAGAGCTGATCCTCGGTGAGCAGCAGCCTTTCTGTGCTGGAACCGTGCAACTTCAAGAAGCGTGGAAGCTGCGCGTTTTCACACATGGAGAGGGAGAGAGGAGGAGGAGGAGGAAGGAGGTTGTTTCATCCAGACAGTGTTAAAGTAGAGTGCGGGACAGCTCACCTTGTGTTGTCTGCCAACTCAGACCCCCGATGAACATTTTGCTGAATGAGAGAAACACAAGCCGCATGTTAAGTCACACACAGCACACAGCGCCTCTTCCCCCCACCAGCACAATTTACGAGCAAATCTGGAGGGTTTCTCTGCGTAATCTAGCATCAGTAAAGTAAAGAAGAAAGCATCGGCCATGTTGCGAAGTCACCCGTCGGCCGGCCGGGCCGTTATAATCCCCCAGAGGAGGAGGAATGAATAGTAATGGTGGTGCTGAAGGACGGGGGTGATGGAGAAGTTGCAGCGTGGCGGTTCGGAGGAACACCGCGAGAAATAAACAAACAAGAAGGATGAGGAGGAAGGGAGGCAGGCAGGCGGGCGGGCGGAAAGAAGCGGTGCGTCTGTGTCTCCTCCGGTGAGTGGATCCATCCCACACACACACGTACACACACACACATTCAGAGAGAGAGAGAGAGAGGGAGAGACAGAGAGACGTACACAGACACGCGCGCGCGCACACACACACACGCAGCGTGCTCGTCTTTTGTCTCGGCGCGGAACTCCACTAAAGTCCAAGGTGAACTCAAAAACGGGTCCGGGGAAGAAAAAAAAAAAGCGAGAGCGGCGGCGCTCCGGACCGGCTCGTTTACCAGGGGTCGTGGGGGGAGTTGTCCGTGCCGGAGGACAGGCTGCTCTGGCTCCCTTCCGTATCCATTCTGCTCTCCTGCTGCTGTGGTTCCCGCACTGGTGAGGCGAGGAGAGGCAGTGAGGCTTCCACCGCTGCTGCTGCTCCAGACTCAGGGGCGGGCAGGCTCGATGAGAGCAGCAGCAGCAGCAGGAGGAGGAGGAGGAGCGGGGTGGGGGGAGAAGGAGGAGGAGGAGGGGCAGCAGAGGTGGGGGTGGGGGAGGATGAAAAGAGGAGGGGTGAGTGAGGAAACTCACGAATGCATGCGCGCGCTCAGGGAGAAACTCCGCCCCTCTACCTCAGCTTTCTCCCGTAGCCTCAGACCGCCCCTCCCCTTTCCTCTGCCCCGTCCCTCCCGCACATTGGCTGGCTGTGTTCATGCTGCCAGTGGCGCTCCCTCCGTAGTGTTTCCCCGCCGCTGCTGTCATTGGCTGATCACAGCAGCATGGTCCATTAAAGAGTATTGAGTGGAGCGGGACCCACAGTGTCCTCTGCCAATTCTAACCTGTAGGCTAGTGGAATTACAACATCAAATGGAGGACATTATATATATATATATATATATATATATATATTATATATATATATATATATATATATATATATATATATATATATATATATATATATCATACTGTCGTCCCAATATAATAATATGGTCCTACAAAAACAACCAATGAGAGCCAGGAGGAGGGTCTTAGACCTTTAAATATTTCCTGTGTAGGTGCTGCTCAGACCCTCCCCCTTGCGTTGGCCAACATATATGATGCACATAGAGGTTTTTGATAATGCCACTTGACAAAATGCAATATTTCTTACTGGTTTCTCAAATCGGTGACTGCAATATCTGTATGACTTTTTAATTTTGTGTTTTTGAGATGTAAAAGGCCTTTTAAGTGCTCAAATGTGCTATGCCAATAAACTTGATTGATTGATTGATTGATTTCTCTCTGTTATGCTATAGCTCGTTCCCCACACCAGAACCTGCCATGAATGCTCAAGCTAGCTAGCACAGCCACCAACGACAGCAGATACATGAGCTTGATTGACAGTGCTAAGACCTTCCTCCTTGCTATGATTGGTTGTTTTTGACAGCATGGGAAGGAGTTCCATGCTCAAAAACAAGAGTTCGGCAAATAGGTTTCAAATTATTAGATGATTTTTTTTCTTACTTTTCAACAAAAACAAAACACGTGCAGTGGAATGCACTTTCTATATCTCCTGCTCTCTGCAGGGTTGCTGGAGAGTGGTTATTGTGTAAAAGGCAGCAAACAGTCTGGAGAGGTCAGTTGGGAAAAAATAAATAAAGCTGCCATATGATAGCTGCAAAATTATTTCAAAATTCTTCAAATAGGGAGTGCTCTGGTGGCGCTGGACTTAAGCACCGCCAACATTGGGAGGCCTTAGTCCTCGACGCAGGCGTCGCAGGTTTGAAACCCGGCCTGCTGACCTTTCCTCTCTCTGAAAAATAAAAACCTCTTGAAACTTAACATTAAAACAGACAGCCTAGTGTTTCTGGGTGACACCTGACTGATATTTGTGGCTTCATCTACGCTGACGAGAACTTCAGCTCCATCTGAAGAAAAGGGACCCCAGAGCATGACCCTGTCACCGTCATGCTCCACAGTTAGCGTTATTTTTGATCATGTGGAGTGCCGTTTCTGAGCCAAACATACCTTCAAAAGTTCCCTTTAGTCAGACCATAATCCGTTCTCCCAGAAGGCTCTGTTAGATTTTTTTTCTTTTATTTGGAATAAAGGAATATAATGTGCAACCCTGCTGCTTAGTTGAAACGTGAATACGAACGTTTTCACACATAAAAACACAAAGCATTCTTGCTGGAATCTCCTATGGCACAATGTTACTGCTGGCCTATTAGCAGCCTACCTGATCGTTTTTTCAAAGTTTCACAAATTTTGGAAAAACTTCAGATTTTTGTGCCCGTTTTCTCATATTTTCTTCAAAATCACATTAAAAGGTGCAACATTATCAAAATGAGACCTAAAAAAAACAAAAAAAAAAATAATGAATTTGCCCATGCAGCCAGCCAGCCAGCTTCCCTTAAATGATCGACCTGGGGCCATGGCTGAACACCAAAGGTTTTTCACAGGATAAATACAGAAGAGGAAAATAGTCTTGCTTTTTCACATGCTTGTAAAGCATTTTCCACTCGTTTGCAAAGTAGCAGAAACATACTCTTATTGGATGGGTGGTCTCTTCACGCATCAAATTAGTAGCTTACTACTTATCGATTTTTCTGTGGAACGCATCTCCAAATAAAATGGGAAAAAAAAATCTGTTTGTGTATTTTTTCACAGAGTATCTAAACCTTCCAGGGAGAAAACATTTGCTTTGGAAAATGGAATAGTGCAATGCTATTTCACTTACTATTGGAAGGCGTTTGCAAACAAGCCAACCGTGGAGGGGTATGCATTTTCCTCGGCACTGATTGGCTGCTCTTCAGAGACAGGGAAACCAGGGATGTTGGTTTCTGCAGAAGTGTTAAGACGGTTTGATCTAACGCATTTATTTGGCGCTCTGGCTGCAGCCTTCCTCACGAAGAAACGCAATTCCACAGCATGATGCATGAAGCAACTACAAAAAAAAAAACATATTGTCTTTTATGCAAATTAGCATTTCAAAGAAAAACTAAATAAAACAAAACCTTTTATATGTCAAGCATGTTCTATATCAACTAGGTTAAAGTTTATTTTGTAACTAAAAGTAGAGGCGCTGGCTGAGTTACCTAGGTTCTGACTAGAGGGTGGGCAGCTTCTGAGGAAACAAAACCTCATAAGTCGTCAGAAACTGACTCAGTCAGCTTCTTCACATGAGAGATGAGAGCAAAATTGATCAATTGAGTGAGTCAGGAGTTTCTACACTACAATCTAATAAGGCAAAAGGTTTGCATTTTTTGTTTCAAAAGCAGTACTTGGTGATTGTAATTGTGTAAATAGTGCACCGAGGGAGGCTCAGTAAATAAAACAAGACGCAGCATGAGTTCCTACACAGCTAATGATAAGCTTCCAAATTAAAACAATCAAGACAGTAAAATGCAAAATCAAATTGACGTTGAGATCAACACGAGAAAAAGTAAGGATCGATTGTATTGAGTGATTGTGTAGTATTCAACATGAACGTGTTGGGCCTTGTGTGATAACACAGTGACGTCAAGTATTTGCTGGATGATGTTTCTCCGACCGCGTCGCAGCGATCACATGTTCATCCTCCATCACTTGTCGTTCCTAAAAACAGCTACGATCACCTTCACGCATCCTTCACCCAGTTCTACATCCGCTCACCCCACCACGGTTCAGTTTCCACCTAAACCCGATTTCCCCCAATAACCCTGTCCCTCGGCCCATGTGACAGGCTGTACCAAGCGGCTAAGTGGCAGATTAGCAGCTTTAGCTCGGAGTGAGGCTCAGCTGAGCAGTTCCAACATTGCACCTCACCTTCTGGGACTCGGCCGCATAATGCTGTCTCTAATGGTTGTGGCTGTTATTCTTGGACCAGATAAAATGAAAGATGACAGACCCAAGATTTGTTCCCCTCTAAATTGAAACCCAGACTGTATGTGTGCAGTAAGTTTGAAGAGCTAAAATGAGCAACTCCCCTCTCCCCCCGTCTCTATCCACACCAAATCTCCTACTTTCAGCACCTGACTGAAAGTTTTTTGTTGGGATCAGTGAACATTCCCAGCACCACATGATGATCCGTGCATGTGCCGGTTCTGAGAAGGACCGCAGGGTGTTTGTGTGTGTGTGTGGTGAGGGAGAGGGGGGGGGGGCAGGGTCAGGGGGAGTGTGTGACTGTGGCCTGGTGGACCATGGAGAGAGAACAGTATGTAGGACAGAGCCTCGCTCTCACCGACCTATCCTGGCTTGCGCCGCGGCTGGGCGTGCTAAATTTCTGCATGCATGATCAATGGTGCTGGATGAAAAAAGAGAGGAGAAAGACAGCAGTAGGATGGGGGAGGGGAGAGGAACAAGTTAGGGCACTGTTAAAAGACAGATTGGAGCAAAAAAAAAAAAAAAAGTGATCAGGTTTTTGTTCTACCAAAGTTAGCGCAGCGTCGTGAGTTTTGTTCAGCCAGCACGCGGTGCAGACAAGCAATGAGAGACTGAGAATTTTTCTTTCCATCTTGAGAAAGTTCAACTAAGTTGTTTTATGGGCTTAGGCAACATTTTTGGATAATTTAAAAATCTGGCAAAGCCTGCGTGGAAGCAAAATTTACACAACTGCCTGCGTGAGAGAGTGTGTGTGTGTGGGTGTGTCAGTGTTTGAGAGAGCTTTTCAGT